GGGGTTGGGAAGTGGGGGGAGAGTTCCCTGTTCATTAGTTTAAACAGGAGCGTGTTATGGGCTTTCCAGACTCGATCATACTGTGTCATCGTTCCCGTGCCTGCATCACAAGATCACATCTGTTCATGAGCTGCACTGCAGCAGAGGAATTTATAAAATGGGCCACAACCACTTGATTTTCATCCAGACTGTGCTGGTGGTGGCACCACTCGCCTTCTGAAAAAAAACAGCAGACACCCCTCATGACATATCCCAAACTAACATCTGCCACAAGGGGATGAAGTTTTGAGGGAGTGCCATTTTGTCATGTTTCCATATGGACGAGTGTTTCTTTGGACTTCACTGCTGGCAGAGGACAAAATCCTTTTGCTAGGAAGCAAGTTATTCACATTATCATGACTCAAACACGAGGCAGAATTCAAATACTGGATTTTTGCCTACTTTAGGTATGGGGGAAGAATCACTGACTGAACAGCTTGCTGGTACTGACATGAAGATGCACAGAAACTGATGTTTATTGTCTCTGTGGTTCTCTGTGGTTGCACGTGGTGTCATTACAAAGAGGAGAAGTGATTTTCTGGTTAGGTGGTTAAATTTGTGTACTGTAATTGCTAGGATAAAATATACTGACTAGATAGAAATCATTCTGGTAATGTGCGTTGTGTTCTGATATAATCCAGCTGCTAAAAACTGGAAAAAAAAAATTTCCTATGTGATCAGTATCCTAAAGGATGTTTCACATACATTGTTAGATTCCAAATGTAGATTATTCCTGTGTTTTGTAGAGTCTGGTTTAAACAAATTGTACTACTCTTTGACCTTTTCATTCCTACACAAAATGTCATTTTTGTGTGCTGTGTCCCTTCGTTCACAGACATATTATCAGATTCTGGGGAAGAGGGAGAAAAGGCAATAAGCTTTTCAGTCATGATGAAAGACAGAAATTTTCTTTCACGGTCATATAATTTCAGAAAGTTTTTCATTTATTGTTTCCAGATGGAAATAAAATTCTGTATTGCATTTTTTCTTCTAACTGAAATATGTCATTATATCTAGTAATGTAAAGCACTTTGTAAAAAAAGAATATATATATATTTATAAAAAAACCCAGGAAACGGATGTTAAGCTTAGAATGTTGAGATACTGTGAAGTACAGTTATGCATTAGCCCCTGATGTCCTTCAAATACTCTTTATGATATTAACTAATAGTTTTATTAAGTGATGAAATCTAGTATTCTATGTGCAATCTGTGGTATGGACTGCATTAACTAAGTATGACTGTTCAGTGCATAGTAGCTGTAATTTAATCAAACCTATATGGCAAAGAACTTCAGTGTCATTTTAGGTGTAGGGAGGATAAAAGGTAAGACTGGAACAAACTTTCCTTAAAGCTTCAAGTTAAAATATGATATTTATATCTGAACACTGAAAAGTTTGAAAGATTGATTTATCTGGACTTCTGATGTAATCATGCAAAGCTTTTGTTTAGTTCATTATTCTTTTTCCTTCTGAATGCCTCACTCTGAGTTTCTGATTTTAAAAGGTAAATTTAAGACCACCAGTGGTACTTAAAAGTGAAACAGTGGGTCCTGAGGTATTTCTGTCTTGTGTTTGGTTTGTGTTAATAATTTGTGTTCTGCTAATTTCACAAAGTTAATTGTTACAGTCCTCAAGTACCTGCTGGGACATCAGTTAATCAGTAGGACCTTTGATTCAAAGCACATGCAGCATATTTTAGCTTTAGATACAGAAAATAAGAAAAGAACGGAGTTCACAGCAGAGTTGTTTGCAACCTCCTCATCACTAGAAGATCTGAGTATCTAAAACATACCTGAAACCTTTCAGTGCTGTGGGTGGGATGAAATGTCCCTACAACACCACCTGCTACATCTTTTTCACAGTTCACAGAATATTCTTTGTTGGAAGTACAAGCAGCTAGATTGTGTTAGGGTTCCCAGATACATAATGTGTGTGTTGTGTGTGCATTTCTGATACATAAGACAAGAAATTTACTTTCTGAAGGATGCAAGTTTTTTGATATTGGGGGACTGATGTGCATCTTTTTACACCAAAATGATGCAGTGGAATAGTCAGTAATGTTTCTGAGCTTACATTTGTGGCTGTCACTGCATACAGGGACCTGTAGTGACAGTTGGAAAGTTCAGTTAATTAATGCCAAGCATTTTGTGTCCCGTTAGTGCAGAACCAAGGGAAATTACTTTAAATGACAACAGTTGTGTTCTTAGTCTTGAAAGTTATCTAGAGCAGTGATTGCAGAAGATGTGAGTTTTGTTTTTTTTCACATGGGGGATAACTAGAAGAAGCAGTTCTGATTGGTCTTGTTTAGCTATGGCTGCTGAACACTATCGGTTTAGTTCCTTGTAGAGGAAGTATAAATTCCCTCTTGGCCACATCCCCCTGAAGGAGATCAACTGTGAGACCAGCAGGATTCTGCATGTCACTGTAAGATAAGCAACTAGTGGGTTTGGGATTTGGTGGGGGCATTTTTTTAATCCTCTGGATAGGAAAACACTTTTGAGATTTTTAGAATTTGATTTTCACTCTTCATACTTCACAGCAAAATTTTCATTTTTAGGGTGAAGAAGAGAAATGAAGCCGACCTTTTCATGTAACTAGAGAATTTCCACACTTGTGACTTTAAAAATCAAAACTTTGTGGTAAAACAACGTAGGTTTTTTTTTAAATGTGATATTTCTATCCCAAACAGACACAGTGAATTGGTACTTTTTTTCTATCAAATTAATTTTGACCTTACAAAAGCTGGAATAAAATAACACTTTTGGATCTAGAAATTCTAATAAATCATTTATTACTTTCAAAAAGAATTTACAAAATAATCACGTATTGAAGAGGCTGTTATTCAGAAGATGCAAAATTTGAGAGCAGTTGCAAAGAATTAAGTTCTTTTTCTGTGTTGTAGGGTGAGTTATTTTTAAGAACTTGGCAGATTCAGAAACATCTTATGAAACTTGACTTTTATTAGTTTCTTATAGCTGTGTTTTTGAGGATTAAATTAAGTACTTGGAACTAAGAGATAAGCATAATAGTAGGCTTGTGGTCCATAGTTCAGGTTTCATCCCTTTTGCTATTTCTCATATTTTAGAAATATATTTTGTTACTGATAAGCAAAAAAATCAGATAACTACTGGGATGCTTCATACAAATTACATTTACAGGATTTTCTAAAGCTTAAAAAAAATATAAAAGTTTTCTGAATTTTGTTGCTTTATTTTACAGAACTTGTTCTATGCCATTCATTTTTGAAAATACATTCTAGCTGAACATCTGAAATTATTAAGGGCATAGGCAAGTTGTTCCATTTGAAGTGGGCATATAAAATTTGTCTGGATGCATGGTAGCCTTTTCTTTACTCTTTTTTTCATGAAACCAGCTGCCTCCAGCTTCCAGTGAGAACCAGATTCACTGCACTTAGCCTTTCTGTGAATCAAATTGTGTACCATCCATTACCAGTATAGCTGTTACTGTAATGTCGAGCTTACATGCCTGAGATAGAATAGCTGAACAATGTAACCACTTCTCTTAGACATTTATGTAATAGGATCTTAGACAGAAACTTTCAAAACTGCTTTCAGAAGTGATTTGATAGAGTTCGGGGTTTGTACACATGTGTTTGTCAGATGGAAGGTGAGTGTTGAGAGAGCATTTTTAATTCTTGGTCTAAAAATCGGTGCTTTTAAAAGGTGTATTCCTGAACGTTAACAGACATGAGGATGTTTGCCTTCTCTTTGAACAATCTAGGCCAACCTTGTAGAAATAGAGAGAGAAAATCTAGATGCACAGCTAATATTGCTGATTAGTGATTGGAAAGAATTTGCAAATAGTTGCATCTAATAACTAAATCTGGCAGCAGTATGTGTTGTCAGACAGAATATATGCTATCAAAGAAAAAAGGAGAAATGGTCTGAGTGAGCCTGACTGGAGTGTGCAGAATGCACATGGCAGAAGAGCAGGCAGACCTTTTCCTATATGGTCACAGCACAGGGAGAAAGGGAAAACCTGAAGTGAAAACCTGGTTGTGCATGTATTATGGTTCTTTATCCAAGTTCACTTATTTCTTGCATGATAAAGAGTAAAGGCTATATGGTACCATATTGCACACAGTCTAGATCCCGGTTTGTCTCAACTTTTAAAAATATTTGAACTTTCTTGGTTGACTGTATGTCCTTAATTGTGTAAATAATAATAATTAAAGAAATGCAACTGCCATATTCTATTCACCATCTCATGTTCCTTCACCCTGCTAAACCTCAGTTGGGGGTTTGGTTTGGCTTTGATTTGGAGGTTTGTTTGCACTTTGCTACTACCTTTCCTTTTTTTTTTCTTTCCGACCTTTTGCATTTATACAAAATGTGTAGCATCCTGTGTCTCTTTTCAAGCTGCCCCCGATTAATCCTATTCATTTTATAACCAAACACTTTTAATTATTGGAGTCTTCTCTGAAATAACAGAGGTAACATTTCAGACCAGTACTGGAGCAGCTTTGCAAATGACAAGGTGTACCTTAATTACCAAATGGCCAAGTATCCTTTAAGGATACTCCAATTAGAGACATTCTCATATTGGTATCTAAGAAGTTATTTCACTCTGGCAAGAAAGCAACTAACCCTTGCCATCTTCTGAGGCTGAAAACAGCCGCTGTCTGAAAGCACTAATTTTCACAATAGTTTGCCTCTTAAATTTTCCTTTAATTGCGTAATCAGTGCTACATAGGGAATGTGATCCCTATCTCAAAGGAAATTCAATCTCGTCTCTTTCTTCTTATTTTCTTTTAAAACAAAATTGCTTTAAAATATTTTCACCTGTCCCTACTGTTCCAAACCAGGCTATTGCAATTCAGTATTGTTTGGGTTTCAGAAGCATTACTACTAATACTTACCCCATATAATTTAAAGGGGGGGGTTGTATTGTTTTCCTAATGCTGTAAAGCTTCTTTTTCTTTTTTTTTAATAACTCTTAGGAAATGGCGAAGATTCTCAATCATCCAAGGGTGTATGCTTTTCTGCACATACCAGTCCAGTCAGCCTCTGACAGTGTGCTCATGGACATGAAGAGAGAATACTGCGTGGCAGACTTCAAACAAGTAGTGGATTTCCTTAAAGAAAAGTAAGTCGACTAATATTTGACAAAAATAACAGTGTTGGGTTTGTTGCAATGTCAAGAACATGTGGCTGAAAACAGTTATTTGCAACTTCATAATTAAGGTATGAAAAAGAATGAGGTTCTTTAAGCTTTCAAAGTCTTCGAGTTTTCTGTAAGCCGCTTGATGTGGTTTGCCCCTTTACTTGAGCTTTTATAAGCATCTTAAATCTCTGCATGACATGCTTTTAATTTGTCAATATATTCCTAATCTTTTTCAAATAATACATTCTTAAATAATTTTTTATACTGAAAATACTATATATAGATCTCTTGAAGTTGGAGTTATTGAAGTTGTCTTTAATGTGGCTTTTGAGCATTTTATACTTTTTGCACTGGAGATGTTCCAGTTCCAGCAAAAGTAAATGGGTTGGTTTTGTGTTTGTTTGTTTTAATAAGTATTTTATATTCTATATCTTACGTAAACTTACTTCAATATAATAATACTCCAATCTTGCTTATGGGACTGATTAATTGTAGGATAATTTCAAAATTATTTCTCTTAGCAACGGAGCTAATTGTGAGAAATAAAATGTATCATTAATGTGTTTACTGTGCTGGCCTGAAGTTGAAAGTTACATCCACCTGCAAAGCTTTTGTAACTACAAGTAATAATTTAATATCCAAGGAAATTTTTTCTTAGTTTTTAAAATGTTAATAGTGACATATTTTGAAGGATATTTCTGCACTGATTGTAAAAAAATTATGTGTGTGGAGATAGAATTATTTCTGTCACCTTGTTTGGCTACTTCATCTCTTTTTACTTCCTTTGTTTGTATGCCTGTTCAATGACTTAAGGACAGTGGTGTTGTACCTTTGACTCTTAGATCGTGTTAAAATACTTGTACATAAACCAATCAATTTGTCATTATCATTTTCATAACCATTTTATTATTACTGGAAAATCTAGAAGTCTAGCTATGTAAAACACATCATGTAATATGTAATGTAATATGATATGTAAGAAAGAAAAGCGAACTGTGACACAATAGGATCTGTTTTGCAAACTATATGTGTAATTTACAGGACATTCCTGTGCATCTAGGACAGCTGATGAAAATGGAGCTGCTTGTCTTCATACAGCTTTATTTGCATTAATTTTCCACCATGAACAATGCCCATAGATTCTTGGCACTAGATTTTAATTAACAGATATTTTGTATTCCCATGTATCTTAAGTGAAACTGTGTCAGTTTGTGTCTTAGTTGACTTGAAGCTGATTCATTATTCTCTTCCATAGTTTTAGCATTGCCAACTATTATCATAACAGCAGCTGGGTTTTCGATAACCTAGTATAGCTGGCACATGTTGGGGCATATGGGAATTTATTAAATCATTCAACTCTTGCACACAGAAAAGAGTGAATTACTTAATATCCAAATTTAAAACAGCTGGTCACTGAATATATAGTAATCTATGTCATACGTATTTTTCCATGGGCTTTTTTGTAGTGATCTTAGCAAGGAAGAAATAATTGGTTTGATGTCTTAATTTTAAATAATAATAAACTTTATTTATCCTGCTTATTAAGAAACTACCAAATTATCTAGGAGTTCCTGTTAGAAAATAGTCTCCAGATATTAAGATGGAAAATTCTTGGTACCATATGGCAGCAGTATAAAGAAGCTATGCAAGGCAGAGAAAATATTTTGGATATTTGAACATGTGCTTATCTGTAAAATAATTTTTTTTCTTTGCACTTAAAAGCATAAAGTCCTCATTTGTAGGCTTTAGTCCCAGGGCAACAGCCAGCTATTACATTCCCATGTAAGTATTCCTATAAAGATCTCAGCACAAAGTTTGCCAGGACTGAACATTGCTGCAGAGAACTCCAGAGCCTAGAGCCAGAATAGCTAAAATTAAATATGTGCTTTAACTACTTTAATAGCCAAAAGATGTTATTTTTATCTTCCATTTATCAAAAAAGGAAAATAAAACAAAGTAGAACTCCCTATGTCTCCTTTCTCTATTGCTGGGGCCATAAAGTTGTCTAGAGGTTTCCTACACAAAATGTATGGGGGCCTATCAGTGGATTCCAAATGGCACCTTTGTTTCTAGAATGTGATGTCTGCTGTGATAGTAGATTCACCAAAAACTCTATTAAACCAATAATTATATAGGGCGATCTGCTGAAGAAGTGATACCACGCAGCAAGGAACTATATGGTTATCAGTTAAGTGTTTAATGACTTGCATTCAATCATCTAAGCCCGTAAAAATGAAAGGAAAAAGCAAAAGAATGACCCATTTCATAATTTTGCTTTTGGAATCTCAAAGATATACCAAGTGGTTTCTGAATTTTTTTCTCAATGGGGCCAACAAAACACTGTGGGGCTTTTTTCTTCAAGAAGCAGCAAATACCTTTCCTTCCTTTGTAGAGCTATGAGTGACTGCAGACGTATCTTCTTCTCAGAGTGGGGATTTATTTATATCCTGCTGAGCACTGTACACCTTACAGAGAAGCTAGAGTTCTCCAAGAGTACTCTAGTTAGAGTACTCTTTATATTGAAACTCACTTTTTAAAAGAATGAAGCATTCTTGACCCTCTGGGACTGTGAGGTTAGAAATGTCGCTTTTTTCCTCTCTTTGAAGACTTTCTTCAGGCATGAACCATAGAAATGAACTTGAAAATTAGTATTGGCATTCTAGCACCGTCTTTTTATATGCAACACTATTTCAGAACCACTCTCCCCAGCCAGGTGACAACATTTTTTGTTTATTATGAAGCTCAGTTAGCAAAATTAATAGCATATAAAGCAAGAGAGGCAAATCCATTAGACTGTGAAAAACTGAAGTACAGAAGACTTGTTTTATACTTTTTAAAGAAATTCCTTCTGTGATATTTTGGCCTTTTTGCACTGCAATTTCACTAAATTCAGGTATTCAAGAAAATACCATCGAGCAGTTGATGTGTCAGTAGCTGATCTACAGATATAATGTGTGTCTGTATTTACTGCGCATATAATTGTAAACTACTCTAGAGAGCAACAGTATAAAGTGAGGATGCATTGATTAATTTAAGGGCTGTACATAGTCTGTAGGGATTAAGGACTAGTGCCCTACTCTGTGGTTTTTGGAAACTAGTACAATAGTCTGGAGGGAGTATTTGCAAGACTGATTCCTGGATGAGATATTAGTTTCAATGTGTTTGCAACTAAATACAGCATCTTTAGAAATTTCTGCTAGGTAAATTTAATCCAGAGACCAATTCAGTCTTATATCAGAAAGTCTTTTAATTGTGGTGTCATTATATCAAAATGTGAGTTGTTTTTCAAGTGATCTCAACTTTCAAGATTCAGCATAGATTATATTTCTGAAAGGTGATGTTTGTAGTTGCAAGAAGAGCAAGACAGCTTTAATTATCTCGAAGTTTTGAAACTTAATCCCCTGAAATTTACTTTTGCTGATAAAAGCAAACAATTGGAATATATTTTAGTTAAAGAAACCTGAGATCTGAATGTCATATTCTGTAATTGCTTGAATAATCAGCGATGTGAATATATACCCATTAAAAAATCCTTAGACTGATAATGTGTTTTCCAAATGTCTTGTTTGCTTTTGGTGTCCAGACTGTATTCTCTTACCTTTATAGTTTGTGAAGTGATTATGGTGTTCATCAAAGTTTATATTCATCTTTCCTATTACTGCTGCTTGATAAGAGAATTGTAAAACCAAAATCTAGATGAATAAAAAAGTAAGGAAATTTAGAGCTAGACTGAAACACTATCTCTTTCTATTTTGGAAAATAGCGTAATACTGAGGAAAAACTGGGTTTGCCTCCCAGTATGCTTTTGTTTGTGTTCTGAGAGAGAAGCATAATATTAATTGTGGGTGGCTGCTGCTGCTCACTTGAGACTGTCTCATAATTCAAGCTGGAAACATCTGAGCTTTCCAATATCATTGGAAAGCCAGCAAACTTAGGCTGCCAGAGGGGAAGCCACAGCTCTGCCAGGCGGAAAGTTCTATTCTTTTTTTCACTGGTTCTTGTTTCTCCATTAAAATAAGACCTGCTAGTAAGGCTCTCCTAACCTCCATTTAATTGTAATCAACTCTTGATTTTTCAGCATATGTAGATACATTATTACAGGCAGTTGGAAAAAGGCAGTAAAGGATCAAAAGTAATAAACGTGTGCAGTGGAAAATAAATCACAGGCTTGGAAGGAAATTAATCACTCAAGTGTAAACTCAAATCCTAGTTGCCTACAGCAGTTACAGACAACTGCCCAGTCTGAAGAAACTAGAGATACTGTCCAAACTGAGAGAAGGTGTTATATAGTCCTTTTGGGACAGCTGGCTTCAGTGAGAGTCCCTTCTTCCCTGTTGCTTTACAAGGAGTTAGGCCAGCAAATGTAGGTTCAGCAGCTTCCTAGGCCATTCTTAATTCTGTTTTTAAGGGTTTGGGGGGATTCAGGAGTGACTGTCTTGTGTTTCTTTTTGTCTACCCTGACTTCGTCTCTTTTGTTGCAGCCAGGCTTCATCTGCTTGGGTGTTCGTCAGACTGCTTCAGGGTAAAGTAGTGTGGCTGGCAGCAAAGTGGACCCTGCTGCTGTCTCCTCCCAGTCACGTTAGTCAGTTTTTACAGCAATATTTGTATGTTACTTGTAACTCTAAATAATTTTCTTCTGAAAGATGTCCATACGGTAAGCTCCTGAATATTGCTAATTCCACAAGGAAAGATAAACAGCTAAATGAATCATCATCAAATTTGCACCTATTCCAGACAACCTGTAGTTTTGAAGCTATCCCAAGTGTTGTGGCAGTAGTATTGTCTTTATCACATTATTATGACTACTACTGAAACTAGAATTTGAAGGCAATAATTTTTAAAGAACCATTTATTATTTATATATGTTTTTCTACTCGGTTTCAAAATGCAGGTAATTATGAAGTAGACTATAACAAATCCCTCACGTTTTTACAGTGTAAATAAATATGTTTCATTTTCTTTCTCAAAATGCACTTTTGTTT